ATTCTGTGATTCTGTGATTCAATCCAGAGCCAGATGTCAGTGCCACATCCAGGGGCTGCAGCTGGGCAGGATCCCACATGGATCCAGCTGGAGATGCCACAGGCACACTGCTCCAACTCCTGCAGCACATCCCACCCACCCACGGTGCATTTGAGCATTCCCAGAGATGCATGGACACCTTGGATCACCTAAATCCCTTCTCCCCTCTCTCAAACCCACGCAGGGCTGTGTTTCCCACTATCCCAGCTCCATTACCCCAGTTTCTGCCCCACAGATGGAGCTGGCACTGTTCATGTTCCCTGGGAAGGGCTGTTCTGCTCCATCCCAGGCTCTCTGACAGGCATCTCCAGCCCTGGAGCAGCTCTTTGGCCGTGTGGGACAGGAGAGCAGCTGTGCCAGCTCTGTCCCTGTCCCAGTCCTGCCAGCACAGCTCTGGGATTGATCCCAGTTTATGCTCATCGGTTAATGGAGCTGAGTCAGGGCTTTATTCTCCTTCCATCATGGAAATGGGAGGCTCATCATGAGGAGAATGTTCATTTGCTCCCTCTGACCTTTCCCATGCACTGGTTGTCCTTTCTGCTCTGTCAGGACCATCCAGCCCTGCCCGTGTGCCCAAAGGTGATCCTGCTCCCATGTCAGACATTCCCAGTGGCTGTGGGATGCCACCCCACACCATATTCCCGTGGGATATTGTCTCCCTAGAGACTCCAGCTCATCCTGGCACCCTCACCCAGCTCCTGCTGCTCCTGGCCATGCCCAAACCACGCTCTGGCATCTGGAGCTCTGCTCCTGTCCCAGCCTGACCCTTTCCTGTGCCAGCTCCTCATCCCAGCCGTGCCCCAGGGCTCCCCCAACACCCCACAAGGCAGGTTCCTCGTGGCAGAAGTCCCTGTGGGCACTGGTATCCTGTGCCATCCTGTGCCATCCTGTGCCACCTTGAGCTCCTGCCCTGATTCCTGCTCAAGTGTCCCCAGGTGACCCTGTCACACACCCGCAATCC